GTTGAAATATAGTCAAAACACGATTGGTAAAATTGTCTTGACTCATTTTTTGCCGTATCAAACATCTGTGCCCTGTTCCCGCAGTTTATCTCTTTCTCCTGCATTTTTTTCACATGCATGTTACATATATATATGTATATGTATGTATATAATTCTAAAATAATACAAACCAATTTAATATTTTCTCAAAACATCATCATAACACCATATATGCATGCGTATCGTATCAACCGTAAAGAGCATGCGTTGTTTCAATTCGTGTTGCAGATCGCCCGCAGTATGCATATGAATATGGCTTTCCTTACTGATTCTTTCCACAGACTGAAAAGAAAATGACTTGTATAATCGCTGTATAAATATTAATTGGTTTATTAGAAACTTTTGTCTGAATTTCTTCTCCTAATCTCTTCACGATCCCTTAAATTACATTTCCAAGCATGATCCTTGTGCCTCTGTGTGTGTGTGTGTGTGTGTGTGTGTGTGTGTATACATATATATATCTATAAACTTCTCTGTCTACGTCCTGATCATGAGCTAATATATATATATATATATATATATATATATACATAAAGAAAATGTGAGAGAGAATAGACATACATACACTTCTTAAACTAAAATTCATTCACCCCTCACGTTGGATTAATTGTTTGCCTAACAAAAGCTATTTGATTGGGAGATAATGGATTCGTCAAAAGAAACGGAAGAAAAAGAATCATATATAATATGTATATATACATACCCACAGACAGAAACTGAGTTCAATAGTAGTCTTCTTATTCACACACGTAACTCTACTGGTTTAACAAATAGAATAAATTAATCTTATTAATATATTTTATCAATAAGATATATAACACTATAGTATAGTACATATATATATATATATTAGAAAAATTAATCTAAACTTTTGATTTATTAATTCATTTAATATTTTATAGTAAAGAATTTAACTGGGTCTAAGAACATTGACTCATATATTAAATATGTGATGGTAATTATTTACAATATTCAGAGAACAATTTTAAAACACCATTACTTTTTGCCACCTTAATCATGTGATTTAATTCCACAGACATATATCAAATAACGTGTTTCTCAATGCATGCTCGTAAAATTAAAATTAATATATATTATGTTATATAAAATACTAAAAAAATAAATAAATTTTTATATTAGTTTTAAAATGATAAAATGCTGCCAAAAGTCCATGTATAAGGAAAAAAATGGTACAACACAAGTGGGAAATGTGCATATATATATATATATATATATATGAAAAATTATATATATGAAAAATCATATATATAATTATAACATCAAATGTATATGAAAAATCATTAGTTATTCAGAGAATATAGACGAGTGAGTTGATAGATTTTATAAATGTAGCGACTTCGAAAATTCAAAAGGAAATATATTATAATTTAAGTGTGGAAACGAAATAGAATGTTTAGGTTTACATCTCTTGTACAATAACTTAAAAGTACTGAACAACATTACGAAATGAATTCTCTGAAAGAAACACGAAAAATAAGAAAAATAATAGAAAATAGAAAGTATCTAGCATCTACTCGCAATTTTCTTGCGGATCGGACTCTGAAACTAGATCCTCTTGATCTGAAATGGTTAAATAAAGGATGAGTTATACTAATCCAGTAAAGATATCACACTATATCACCGGTACAGAAGTAAAAGTTGGTATAAAATCAAAACAACTAATGGAGCACTAAATTTAATAAATTCGTTTATCAATCATAAAACCATTTACCGTTCACTTACCGTAGTAAAATTTATGAAAACAATCTATAGAGACAATAATACCATACAGATCATAACTTCATGAACACCCAGTAACATAGAACATATCATGAATTCATATCCATTAACAATAAACTAAATCATAACCATTTCTCATTTTACCAGTCTACTAGTATCCATGGGAGGTTCATAGGAGTGTCCCCGCTACACGTGAACCATTTCCCTTAACAATCTCAATTACAAGGCTGTCCCCATACTCCGTTCGGTATGAGCATCAAGACATTAAACCTCAATACCCCGTCTGGTATAAAGGTGAAGCGGGTCGTCCCCATATCTCCTCCGGTATGAGCGCCAAATTATTAAATCTCCATACCCCGTCCGATATAAGATAACGTTCACAGTGGGGTTCCTTATATACCCGGTCCGTCCACCATTTCCCATGATATCTAGTAAGACTGCAATTCTATCTGTTTATTTGATCACACCCATTTCCTGTTTTTCTTTAGTCTCCATTACCAAATCAAACATAATCACATAAACAAATAAATATGCACTTGGTAACGCAATCATGTCTCAAATTACAAATCAAATAGAAGTCAGGTAAGACAGTAATACGTGCATTTAAACCATAAAATAGATAAATAAGATACTATCATACTTTTAGACTGTAAAATAAATCAACAAAGAACAATATCCGGTTCGGCCTCCATTAATAATCCGTAATTAGTTACGCATATTTATTTGTACAAAATACCGTATTATTATTTATTTAAACTTCAATTCTATGATAGAGAATAGGGTGAAGGATCCTTACTCAATTTGACGCCGAAAAACTAAACGATTTACTGCATCTACGGGCGGTTCTTAAGTTTCCTGAATTTTTCTTCGGGAACTGAAACACGCTTATAGTACCTACAAATGTTCTAAATAAACTCAAAATTAGTTCAGGGCTCGCTCGGCTAATTTTAAAAATTCGACACGGCGGCTGTCTGCCTCGGGTCGGCCATTTTCGGTTGATTTTGCATCGATTCCTACAAGTACACATGCTAAAAGGCTTCGATGGGACGAAAGAATACAAAAAATCGAAACTCACTGGCCGTAGGGCTCTCTGGTGTGGCGGCTCCTCCAGCTCACGTTGCGGTTGAGTGTTTCGCTTCGGTTAACCTGTAGAAAAGAAAACGGTTATCATAACGGTGGAAAAATTACGCGAAATGGGAATCAGAAAGAGTCTCCTCGGAGGTGGTTTGTGAAATTCCCCGCGGCGGCGCCGCCAGGCTTCGTTGGTGTTTTTCGACCAATTAGCTGGTTCTTTCACTCCAATTTGGGCATGGCTGGGCTTAAAATTGAATTTCGTGTAAATTTTTTTTTTTTTTTTTACATTTTTTGGCGGTCGGAAAGGATTCTGATGTGGTGGCAAGTGATAATGGTCGACTCCCCGGCGGTTGGGTTGTCTTCTCCGACGAGGGATTCTAGCGGCTAGAGTTAGGGTTTTGGTGCGGATGGGGTTATTTATACCCATCTACTTTTGATTTGCACCGTTTATCGTGTTTGATCTAAACCGTCCATCGCGTTTGATCTGGACCATCTGATCGCGATTAAATAGAGAGTGAATCTAGATCGTTCATCGCGATCCAATATGGGCCGTCCATCGCGATTCACTTTGGGTTGTCTGTGCGCGCGGGAACGGATCTCAGTCATTCGATCGCGCGCACTCGGGTCACCCACATGGCTCCCCCCGCGTCAACGCCTCTGCTACTTGGCGTGTCCTGGTTGGTCGAGACTGCTGACCAGACGTTTAACATGACAAATTTTTTTTTAAATTTCGTTTTGACTCCCGGTTTCTGATTTTTCTTTCAAAAATACCCCCCAAACCCAATTTTTCACCATTTTTTTAAAATTTATTTTCAATTTAATTCTTAATAAATTTTACTCTATTTTTTTATTAAAATAAAATAAAATAAATAATTATATTTATTAATAAAAAATTAAAAAAAAAGGTTTTGATAGGTGTTACAATAAATATGATCCACGTATTTATAAATTTCATTTTTATCTATTTATGTACATTCCTTAAACACAATAATTATTCAAGATATATTCATTTAATATACTTTAACAAAAAATTATATCAAATAAATTTATGATATTGATTGAAATTTATTATTTAATTAACATGTTTTTTTTTTTTATAAAATTATTAGAGGCGAATAAATAATAAAAAGAAATTCCAGCGGAGCTTATAATGATTCCAACAAAAGATGAATTTTTTAGTTTGAAGAATAATTAATTATTTCTTTTAATTACATAAAGATTTTTTTAAAAAAAATTTAAAAAATTAGCTTAAATTTAATCTGTTTTAATTAAGTTTATAATTTTATAATTAATTATTTTTTCGAAATTAATTAGTATTAAGTAAATTTTAGATATTATAGTGGGGAGAGATGGTGCGTATAAGTATTCCAATACCAAAAAGTACATGAAAATCCAACTCACGTGACAAAAGACAAAGAAACATGTCAAAAAGAGTAAATGACATAGACTCTGTGATTACTTTGTATTTGACGCTCTATTATCTACCTATATATACATATACATATATATATATATATATATCAATTTTCTATAGCTTAGCTTTAAATCAATATTTGAGTTCTAAACTAATAAAAAGATATTAATTAATTTTATAAAAATTCAAAGGTAGTATCCATATTGGTCACAAAATTTACTTAGTAACGTCTGAGAAGTTTCGCATAATCAATATTAGTTTCTGGGTATTAAACCTTTTGTTAGGAAGTTATTAGTTTCGGTAAAAGTAAGCGAATGAGGGAAGTAAATATATATATATATATATACATGGGTGGGTGTATAGCGTGTTGTTCATGGAAATCTTGTGAATTGAAATGAAAAATCACAGGGAAGCATTATCAGCAAATCTGACGCGGATGCAACTCATTGTCTGGATTTTCAAGGCTTAAAGAAACATGATTTTGCTTTTGTTCTTTCGTTATTTAAGAAACCCCGGCCCCAAGCGAAGACGGCTGAATTAAAAATTATGTAAAAAATTAATAACAAGAAGAAAAATCCTAGTCAACAAGAAAGACCCTGAGAAATGTTCATGCCATAAACGAGTTGTTTTCATCTTCTCTCTCAGTCAAATCTCCGACATTCTTGAACTCTCTCTACATCTCCATCTCCATCTCCATCTCCATCTATAAAAACCCATCTGATTCTCCTTTCTCTATCCACCAACAATCAACTAAAGAAAAAACCTGTGATAACCTTGATAGACAGATATATATATATATATATAGGGAGAGAAAGATGATGTGGTTTGAACTATGTCGAGCTTTTACCAAAGCTGCCATGGCGGCTTTGCTTCTGTTCATGTTCTTGAAGTTAATATTTGCTTGCTGGGTATCACCCATTTTTGCATATAAGAAGCTTAAGAGAAATGGGTTTAAAGGTCCAACTCCAACTTTTCCTTTAGGAAACATTACCGAGATGAAGAAGAATACCAAAGATTCTTCTTCTTCGTTTAGATCATCAACAGTCTCACATGATATTCACTCAACTGCACTTCCTTACTTTTCCCGGTGGCAAAAATCATATGGTAATTCGCTTATATACAGAGATACATATATATATATATATATATTTATTGGTGTTTGGTAAGATAACAAAGTGGCCAGTTACTACTTGACCTTGCATAAGAACTATGTGCCTGTGTCAAAAAAAAAATATATATATACACACACTATATATATTTATATAGTCTTTTTCCTACTTAAATACGGATAAGTATATATAAGCGCTTAGATGTAATAATGCCAGTTTGTTTGGACGTTAATGCAGGGAAGGTATTTGTGTACTGGCTAGGCACAGAGCCATTCTTGTGTATTGCAGACCCGGAGTTTCTGAAGAAAATATCAGAAGGGGTAATGGGCAAGAGCTGGGGAAAACCCGACGTGTTTAAACAAGACAGAGAACCCATGTTTGGTAATGGCTTGAACATGGTTGAAGGTGACGAATGGGTTCGTCACCGCCACGTCATCACTCCTGCTTTCACTCCTGCAAACTTGAAGGTTCTCTCTCTCTCTCTCTCTCTCTCTCTCTCTCTCTCTCTCTCTCTCTTAATTTACAGCTCTTGCACTTTCATTTCCAGTTTCTTTGTTTATTCAGTATTACAAAGGGGTCAAAAGTCATCTCTTACTCATTTATTAGCACCCAATAAATATATATTTTTTTTTGTGAAGTAATCATCTTCAATCATGCTCGATTAATACTTAACAGTATATACATTTTAGCTCACTAATAACTCTTTTCTTTTTGTCGGGAAGCACTAAAATAAACAATATCTTTTTCTTGGTGTGAAAAGTAAACAATTGTCATGCAGAGGCTTTTGAGCACCTACTTCATCGTCTCTTTTCATATTTAAATCCCACTAAGTGATTTATATACTTGTTCTCTCAAAATCAACCCACTAAATCCTAACGAGCCTATAATACATGTGCCCTACAGAATATGAGCAACATGATGGTGGAGTCCACCACAAAGATGCTAGACAAGTGGACGGCCATGATCAACTCAGGCAACCCGTTAATCGATGTGGAGAAAGAGATGATAGAAACAGCAGGTGAGATCATAGCCAGGACAAGCTTTGGCACAAACCACGAAGTTGGAACTAAGGTCTTAGAAAAGTTACGAGCCATGCAAATGCTGCTCTTTAAATCCAACCGCTACGTGGGTGTCCCCTTAAACAAGTACTTGATATCTCCAAGGCAAACTCGGGAAACCAAGAGGCTCGGGAAAGAGATTGACGAACTCCTCCTTACCATTATTAACGACCGGAAAAACGACCGACGATCGCCGCAAAAGGACTTGCTGGGCTTATTGTCGGAGGCCGAGAATAATGTTGATGGGCGTGACGGGAAGACGTTGACGCCGAGAGAGCTGGTTGACGAGTGCAAGACTTTCTTTTTCGGTGGACAAGAGACGACGGCGCTGGCGGTAACGTGGACGTTGCTGGTTTTGGCCATGCATCCAGAATGGCAAGAGCAACTGAGGGAGGAGATAAGACAGGTTGTGGGAGAGAAGGAGGTTGACGCCACCATGCTTGCTAGGCTTAAGAAGGTAAGATTTAATCCTCTTGAGCTTTCTGTACGTTGTCGTTTTGCTGATGCTCTGATTTGTTATTAACACTCTCTCATGTTCTTTTGTCTGGACCAGAAACTTAGCTAGCTAAGTAGCTACGCCCACTAGACGACGCCGGTTTTGGAAACCGGCTCGAATCCATTAACTGCTCAGCATGTGTTATGTCCTTTACGTGTCTGCCGTTATTTGAGAAGATGTTTAATAAATTATAATTACTCAGAATAGAAGGTTGATAAATTAAAATTTTCTTTTATAACAGAAAGTGCTTAGGAGTCAAAGGTAAAAAAATCGGCATTAACCATGCTAACTCCATGCGTTATATATATATATATATCATCGGTTTCTGCATGCATGGCCCATATGGTTGTATATTTATATATGCGTGGCGCATGGAGCTCGTGCATGTAAATAAATGTCTACATACTCGCGTGATTTAAAATTCAATTTAGTGCGGAAAAATTCAAAATAACGGCTTCAAATCTTGCTTAACCCTAGTAGAATTTAATTAGTTACGTGCGAAAAACTGTGCAGATGGGATGGGTGATGAACGAGGTTCTAAGGCTGTACTCACCAGCACCAAATGCACAGAGACAAGTACGAGAAGAAATTCGGGTGTCGCACGATGATAATCGCACGGTGATCCCAAGCGGAACCAACATATGGATCGACGTAGTGTCGATGCACCATGACCCAGAACTGTGGGGGGAGGATGTGTACGAGTTTAAACCAGAGAGGTTTAAGGAAGACATTCTGTACGGAGGATGCAAACACAAGATGGGTTTTTTACCATTTGGGTTTGGAGGAAGGATGTGCATTGGGAAAAACTTGAGCGCCATGGAGTATAAGATTGTGCTGACACTAATTCTTTCTAGGTTTTCCTTCTCCCTTTCTCCAACTTACACTCATGCTCCTTCCCTTCTGCTCTCCTTAAGACCCTCTTATGGTCTCCCTCTTGTTTTGCAGACTCTTTAGACTGTATTGGTATTGCAATTCCTTTCTTTTTTTTTTTTTTTTATCTAAATAAGATCATGTACTTACATGAGTGATACATTAGAACTCGGGTTGAAACTCGATATAAAGCGATCTCTTTAGACTTTTCTTAAAACTAAATTCTACTCCAAGAAATCTTAAAACCTCAATCCATATGTTGATTTTATGCATTTGTTTTTTCTAAAACTAAATTCCACTCCAATCAATCTTTAAAAAAAAAAAAAACACGATCGCCTACATCTAGTTCCTGCATTTGTTTTTTTCCTTTTCAAGTATTACGTACAAAAATCAAGCTTGTGGATTTAATGGCATTGTCGTTTGATAATCTCCTACCTATTATTAGTTAGCATCGTCTGTTAAAAAAACTCTTTTTTTGGAGAAAACTTTAGAAAAGGTAAATTAAATTGCTTATATGTGCAATATTGTCATATGGTGTGTTATAAATATAAGTAATAATCATAAAATTCTGACGGGTTTAGATTAGTCCTGCATAGTGGGAACAGGATTACTGCAATTTGAGATGATCACCCTCCCAATCCACGCTTGGCATCCAATGGGCCTTTGGACGTACATCAAGGCTAAAAATATACTTTATCTCTGAAAGCTATGATTATCGTTAAAGGTGAATGTGACAGACAACTCAAACTTACAATATGTATCGTAAGTGCTTACAGTTTTAATAATTGAATATTAAAAATTCTAAAGTAGTAGTTCTTAAAAAAACAACCCAGTAGTTAAATATTTACATCGATAATTAGTATTGCAAGCTCTTAACTTATTTTGTAATATACCCTCGTGAGAACCACATTTGCAGGATTGTCATTATGACTGAGCTTGAAAGAAACTATGCACCTTAATAAATTAAGCTTATTGTTAAGACACATCTTTGCAGATATTTGTTTTCCGTTATATTCTAAAACGAATTCTTACAATCACCTCTTTTTAGATATGCCAATTAAAAAAGAGCTAACCATGGAACACTAAAAGATGGTGAAATCATTGTCATCTGGTGATAATATATACAAATTTATCTCACAGGCTATAACTGACTTTGAGGTGGATGCCCCCGGTTCAAGTTCAGACAAGCTAGACAAGTATTCCATCACAGTACCACGATAAATACTCGCAAAAATGAACATTAATCATCTAGAGCGATTACGATTCAGACAGGCTCATCATCATAAGCTACCAACAAGGCAACAAAATGCCGGGAAAAGCTAAGAGCTTGCAGTGAGGATGCTGTTTATGTAGATCCAACCACTACTCAGGTGTTGCCCTTAAAACAAAGACTTGATATCCTCCAAGTCATCCCTATAGGTCTGGAGGCTCGGAAAAGATATCAACCGCCTCCCATCCACTCATTACTAGGGATAGAAGAGACTTACAAGCATCAACTTGCAAGGGCTGATGCTGGAGGAAATTCGAGGCGGACAGGTGGAAAAGAGCAAGGAGCTTATGGATGAGTACGAAACTTTATCTTTTACCTGTCAGGAGACTACAACTTGACATAAACATGAGCTTTGCTGTGTTTTTTGAAGCATGAGGAAAGAGGATAAGCAAGGAGACTGACATCAATGTGCTTCTGGAACGTAGGCGAGTAAGATCCGTTTCTTCTACCAAAAAAAGGTTCTAATGTAATCCTAACTAGGTAAAAGCATCACAGAAAGATTATGACAATCTATCCTATAAAACTGAAAATGAAATTCTATCATAGAGAATGTTTAAGGACCAAGAGTAAAAGCATTTTAAAAAAAATGTTGTATTACAACTTTTTCACAATGGGTGACATGGTAATAAACCCATTTATTTAACCTGGTATGTCTGATCTTGTTACTGATACAAGCTTAAAAAAGAGGCAAGCTAGTTGGGAAGCGTACATACATCCATTGTCTTTCCATCTTTACCAAATGATTCCACCCTATCTCGTCAAGCAATGAAAGCTTTAGTTTGTAAAGTTTCTTCTTTGGAAGTTCCCCATTATCCTGAATCACGTCATTCAATACCTGAATCATTGGATTCCACGAGAAACATCCTCAGACAATAAATAGGAGATTAGAGATCAGATTACAAATGAATGGATTGTTTAGACAAGATAATATCTACCAAAAGCAAGAATTCAATAAATGTTAATACTATAAAGCACAATCACAATCATCATTCTTAAATATTTACTTGTAAATCACAAGAAACTCTGAAACAAAAGAGAGTTTTGTTCACTAATGCCAGGAATTAAATAAATTCCTTTCAACGCAAACCCAACTTCAGATCTCCTTATTCTGCTAAATGACCAAAAGATAACAGTAAATAACAATATTGAGGTTAGACGGTCATAGAAAATACCTTCAGTGCAGTTCCAAGCCTTTGACACCGTCTTTCACGTAGCACAAAGAGAATGCCATATTTCGAGGACTTCATGTCTACCCATTTTTTCAATTCTTTGAAGTTCTCTTCAAACAAATCCACCTCAGGAGAAGAGTCAGGTGCATCTTTTGTGTCTTCTGCTACAGCTGAGCTTGGAGATTGCTCACTCTACAATTGTAATAATGATAAGATGAAATATCAATACACTAAGCTAACAAAATTGTACAGATTGTTATCAACATTATCAGAGCGATAGTAATTCTTACCTCCAAGACTTCAATCTCAGCCATGGCCAGTCCTTTCTGGTATAATGCATCTGCTAATTGATCACGAGATGTCTCCATCTTCTTCTTAATTTTCTATCCCCGAAAAAAAAAGATCAACTTAAATACAGAAAACACTGCCTCTTACTTATTCACATACAAGAGAACAATAAGCTAAATAACAAAGTTACATCTATATTCACAATAACAGTCTACGAGATAGTACACTTTGGACCATTAGAAGGTAGAAATTGAAGGGTTAGAAAAATGAAATTTGAAAGTTTGGACCTCTCATCAAGTGGGACTTTGATCAAGTTGTCTTATACAGTGGGATGAAGCAGACCTCAAGCCTGATAACTTAGAGTGAACAGAAATTTGCATCTGGCAAACATATTGAGACAATCACACAACAATAATAGAACACTCTACTCTTTCACTTCCAACATTTTTTTGAGCACAGAAGGGATGAAAGAAACAACGCTGGCTCTGGGTTTAGTTGTTGATTTTCCAAGTGAGTCCATCAGGAGGTCATCTGATACTAAAAAGCAAAGTAAAACTAGGTGAATGAGCATAAGTACACACCTCCGCTTCATCATCTTCTGGATCCCTTTTGAGTGAAAAGTATTTTGCCAACTCATCTCTATCTATACTGTCAATTACATCGTTTGCAGCATCAACAACCTGCAAAGTAGAAGTCATCACTGCCAGACATTTCTAACATTAATTTCTGCAAGACATCATTCATGCATTTCCATAAAATGCATGGAAATCATACACGCAGTTCGTTATATCCATAAGATGCTTCTCCTTTTCGAGACTAGAATGTCATGTTGACTTTAAGGGATAGCAGCCACCCCCATTTAACTACTGCATATTCATGCAGGCAAATAGTGTATTCATAATCACAAACTGAATGCCGAACTTACCTCTTTATCATGGTTGATTTTGTCCCCAACATCACTCTGAGAAACCAAACTTTCCAATATCTTGGCAAGCAAGGGAGTGTACTTTGGATATTCAGACTGCCAAAGGACAAATATAACATTTACTTGACAGCATGTAAAACATATGGCGGGCAATTTTTAATTAAAGACACATATAACACAGCAAATACCATATCTTCAGATATAGAATATCATCATAAAGGTAACAATAAAGCAAACTGAACTGAGGGGGAAAGACAAGGGCTGGGTTCTGATAAGCTTACGTCTTCAGGTTCAAGAGAATTAATTCAAAGTTTGAAACAGAATATTCCATAATCAGGTAATACACTATATAGAAAAGAATAAAGAGTTGGGAAGACTGAAGTTGATAGAGTTTCTTCATCATATCAACAAATTCCCTAAATACAACATCAATAGATATATCCTTTCCGAGATTGAAACAAAAAAAGGCTCTCACCTTGAGAGAAACTGACAACTTTTTCCATTCAGAACGCTCTTCGTCGGTGTCTTGCTTAAGGCTTCCAAGGACCTTAATTTTTGCATCTCGAATCTAATTGACAAGTGATACAGCAAACAGTGGCAAAATTTATAAGAAACTTTAAGGTGCTCAACACTGACCAGGCTGAAATGAAAGGGTTCACTTGTGCACAATGATTTAAAAAAAAAAAACAAAATGAAAGCAAAAAGATCAATATTAGGCAACAATATTCTATTTGGATTATTTTAGTTGTTATAACAGTTAAATTTTACTCTTATTATCCAAAATCCCATTTTACTGCCCTAGTATATGAAGAAACACAAATACAAGTGAAAAGCACAAAGTCAAGACTTCGGCAGTATATTTGCGTTACAAAAAATATCAATTGGAAATTCTGTTTGGACTTTCTTAATCAACATAATGCAAAATCAAAACTCAAAACACACACACAACAAGCACATCCATACGTATAAATCAGCCCTAATTTACACAATTAATCATTTGATGGAAAACATAGTGGTATATAACTTGTAACACATTTAAGTTGCAGCATAAAACAGATATTGTTTGGCAACTGCAAAGACACAGAAAAGAATTTGGCAACCACTAGTTCATGCTCAATTATCGAGAAAAACTTTAATTTTTTGCATCAAGTACCTCTTCTTCTAAGCGTTCTGAGACAGTTTTCGAACATGTTGAAGAAGAACCTTTTCCCCTGTCATCATCAACCTGTCGAATAATATAAAATAGAAACAAAAATAAAACCAAAAACCAAAAAAGAATCATATAATGTAAATTTGAAACAGCTGATGACTCACTTGAGCACATAAATATTATATTTTATTGGGTTATCACAAATTGACTTATAAGTGATAGAGAGAAAAAGGAATAAGGTTGGCAGAAAGAGTGAGCAGATTTCAGAACCTTATTTGGAGGCACTATATAAGATATCTGGTAAGAAACAGGATTTTTCTGTGGATTTTTCCCATCTTCTTTACTGTGATATGATAGTTTCCCATAAGAGATGGCTCCCAGCAATACAGACCCCTGTGGAGAGTTCTGCAGGAAT